TGCCATGATACAATATGCCTTAAATGCAAGTGAATGATTATACCCTCTTTTTATATTGTCTTCATTTTAAATTTTTTCCCTAGCTATATTTACACTAGAGTAAACCAGACTGAAAACTGGACAACACTGTCATGCTCAATTTTGCCATGGTTCATAACAGGGCTAGAAGTTTTAGGAAAAACTGTGCATTTCTTTACTTTGTGTCCATTTCTTTTACTTTCTTGCAATAAAAAGCTAATACAAAAATCTTATTATCTGATATTTGATCCATGTCAGGTTAAAACTTTATTAATTGTGGTAAAATTATTGAACCCTGAACATTGTCAAACATATATTAAGCAACCTCCTAAAAACTCTGCCACACTTTCAAACTTTACAATCTATCTAGTTTTTAAGAAGTACCTTTGTCTTTATAATACAGCAAAAAAATTTATTGTAGCTTGTCTCTCATTTCCAGGCTACTCACTTAAGCTTTAACATTTTAGAATTGCCCTCAGTATATATCATAAGTTATAAAAATTCTTAATTTGTATATAAGAGAAAATTGCTTCAAAATCAAATCTTCAAAATCAGAATTTTGAAAATTTTAAATTGTTCCTCCTGTTTATTATTCATTAATTCATCTAGTCACAACATTATGTTTTTGCAGAGATTATCAAAAATCTACTTTCTTCTACAGACTTCTACCTGTGCTCCTTCCCTTCTCCCCCAGCCACCATCTCAGCACCTCCTTCCCAACCCTCAAGCTCTTCAGTCACCTCAGAACCAACACCTCTGGTTCCCTGCCATTCCTGCAGCCCATGCTCATCCAAACTGCAGCTTCTTGCTGTGATTTGTGCCAGGCAGCTCACAGGACACAGCTCCAGTGCGAGCCCTGGCACACACTGATCAGCTGCTGAAAGCACCACACTTCTTCAGAGACAGCAACTCGAATTTCTCCTCTCCATCTAGTTCAATGAAAACAGACAACCTCAATATGTTTAAAATCTCTGCTTCCTCTACTGAATTAAACAGAAAGAGGATGATTGGTTCAAGAATTACAGCATAAAACATAAAAAATAGAAAATGAATTGGCTCCAAATTTTAAGACTGGGCAGAACACATCAGCAGAAGTCCCGTGACATGAGTGAGTCAGAAACTACATGACAACCTTCAAATATGATAAAAACTCCAGTAACTATTAAAACCCAAAACATAATAAATCAATTGCTAACAGCTGCTAAGTAGTGTCTTCCTCTGCAATACCAAACATAAAATAGAATACCTTGATTAATTTTCCTAAGAAAACCCCTAAAATTTACACACATATAAATTGAGGATTACATAAGAAATGATTACACAAACATAGTAAGAACAAACTGTTTATTAAAACACTGATTGTGTTATTTAGCTGCTGCCAGAGCCTACAAAAACTTAAACTTTCTATGAGGACAGCCTGGTAATAAAGGGAAGCATATACAAGTGCCAACAAGACCAGCAGCCCCTTTGATTGCACAATCCTGAGAGTGGGGTTGTTTTAAAGACATTTGCATAATGCCAGAAATAATTCAGTTTCTAGACCACAGGCTTTTCATACCAACCCATGCTAGGTCAGGTCTCACTTGGCTATTCCTTGAGTCACTATAAACCCGCAAGACATCAAATCCCACTAATGGACTGCCTTACAGTACAGGAATTTTCCTTTTCTGTACTTTTTATCCATTGATACTGAAAGTTATATATTGTAAGAGCAGCGCAGTACCTATGCCCTAGTGCTGTGTCTTGCTAGTAAATCACACTGACATGTGGTGAGAAACTATGTCCTGTATTTATAGTTAACATGTGCAATTAACTATGCTCCAAATTGCACAAGGAATTTTAACACTGGAATTTTCTGTATTTCTGACAGCAACCAAACAGGGAATACCTAACTGATATTAGTCTATTTAGCTACAATCTGAAAAACTGAACCCCTTTAATCAAACTTCTAGATTACAGGGTGGTGAGAACCACATACAATCACATTCCATCAAATGCCAGCTTTCAAACACAGCTAGCAGTAAAATGAAAGGAATATGCAAGCATTGAATACAGGAGAGCAGGAAGCATCGTTGTAAGTACAAAAAAAAGTATTATTTTCTTAGTAATGTAACGCCAGGGAAGTGATTATGTTCAGAAATCCTTCACCATACATTCTGAAATATGGCAAGAGCTTTACAATTTCATCTACACTATCTGGTCACTGTGAAATACAGTCTCCTGGAATGGAAGCACAGCTACTCAGAGGCACTCATACACAGACCTAAAATTCACTCTGATTCAAGTAATACACCCCTTGTGGACAGGTAAGCAAAGAAAGCCTTAGCATTTTTCAGATGCATTACCTGTGAATCAAGTGTTTTGTGGAACAAAAATTTGTCAGATGCTGGGGAACAGGGACAAAATCAGCACCTTGTAGCCTTTTCCTATCTCAAAATTAAACCCCAAATGCAGTAGATGTTCTTAATATAGTATGTCCTGGAGCACGTAACAGTGACCTTGACCTAAAAGCCATCCAGAAGATTTAGACTCTGGTTTATGCTCCAGAACCAGCAGCCTGTGCCCACCGTACACTGCCGCTGCTCCCCGCCCCTCCAGCGCAAACATCTCCCGGCTCCACGTACACCAGCTCCGGGCAAACAGGAACTGGAGAGCCCTTTGCAAAGAAGGAAGTTCCAGCTCCGAAGAGGAGCACCACCAGACTGGCAGGGAAACCACAAAACATCTCTGTGTCCGAAGCAGGCGCGGGCAAAGGGAGGTGCTGACATCAACCCATGGGCCAGGGCAGACGCGTTTGGCCCCGGCGATGCGGAGAGCGCTGAGGGCAGGGCAGCAGCCCGGAGCCCCCTCGGCGGCAGCGCGAGGTCCCAGGTACCTCCGGAGATGAGCAAAAAGCGGCTCCATCCCAACACCGTGCCTGTCACAGGCCCACAGAACGGGTCAGGTTGGAAGAGACCACAGCAGGTCCTTAGGTTCCACCTCCCCGCTCCAGGGTCATTCCAGAGCACATGGCCGAGGATTATGTCCAAATGGTTCGGAGTATCTCCAGAAAGGGAGACTCCACAGCCTCGCTGTACAATCTGCCCCAGTGCCCGGTCACTAACGGAGGAAGTTCTTCCTCGTGTTCAGGTGGAATTTTCTGGGCATCAGTTCCTGCCCATTGCCTCCTGTCCCATTCCTGAGCCCCACCGAGCAGAGGCTGCTTCACCCTCAGACACCGCCCTGCATATACTGATACTGTCCTCAGAAGAGGGTGCCCCCGCGAATCCGCCGCCACAGCACGACACCCGCGGTGGGGCAGATGTCTCCTAAAACTCTCCGCTCCCTCCTTATCGTTCTTATCGCCCCTGCCTGCCCCGTGCCATCCCGCTGAGGGAGACACGGCGTCCCCCCGACAGGCGAATGGTCGCAGTTGCCCTGGGGACCGCATGTGGTGGGACCCGGGAGGAGAATCCGTCCCCCAGCCCGGGGATGCCCCCGCCCGACGCGGCCCGGCCGCAGCGGGTACACAGCACCGCTGGGAGACCCCAGCCCTCCAGGCCCGGCCGGCGGCTCTGCTCCAGGCCCCGCAGCAGCACCGCCTCTGGGAATGGCGGCGGACCGGCGGCCGCTGTCCCCTGGCCGAGCCCCGGGTCCGCCCGCTCTCCCGCCGGTACCTGCAGGTGACTTTGAGGGCGATGAGGAAGGCGCAGCCCAGCACGATGGCCGCGCCGCACAGCAGCTCGGGCCGCCGCGCCATCAGGGCAGCGCGGGGCCGCAGTCGCGGGGCCGCCGCGGCACCGGGAAAACCGGGATGGGGCGGGCTGTGCTCGCCTCCTGCTCTCCCCTGGCCGGGAGCAGCCGGCGAATAATCCCTGAGCCCCCCGGCAGCTATTCCCCAACAGCCCAACCCCGCAGCAGGAAAGATTTCACACCGGCCTTAGAGAACAAGGATGTCATGTTTAGTTTTGTCTAGAATTACTTCCAATGATTTACAGAGCATTTACATTAAACAATGAAAGCATAAAATTGAAAAAAACAATTCAGAAAGGCACACGATACAATCAGGTTTTGTCACACAAATAACAGTGTCCACAGTACTCTGTCTCACACTCACTTTATTACAAATAATGTAAAAAATCAGCACTGCAGCAGGTGGCATTTCAAGCACCAAGCTCCTGTCCTCCAGCGTCCTGCAGCCCAGCCTGGGGGGAGCAGTCACACAGCAAGAGCCCCAAGCTAAGGCTGAAGCACACATGAGGTGTTGGTTTCAAATTAGTTGTGCTTTTGTGAAGTGAAAGGTACACAGCATCCATGTCATGTGTGGGTTATCACTGAACTTTGGTTCAACACTTTTTACATATCCAATGCATGCCCAATGACTACATTTGAACTACAGAGGTCATCGTTAAAGCTCTTGTAATTATGTAAGATCAGCGGGAACAGAAAAAAGTACCAGGGGGAGTGGGGGAGGAGGAGGGAGGGAAGAAGAAACCTAGTTTTAGTTATTTTAAATGAACGGCTGAAAGAAACTTAGTTGGGGAAAAAAAAAAAGAAATTATCAAACACAAAGAAAGCAGAAAGCAGCATCTACAGAGAAGCCAAAACAAAACACAACAGAAGCTCCAGTGACTGGAAAGCCCAAAGGCTCAGCAGTCACCTCAGCCCGTAACTTGTTTTCCATTTCCTGTGCTGCAGGAAAGGCAATGGGAAGCACCATCCACCGTGCAGCTGAGGCAGTGGTTCATGTCCATGTCCAAGGCTGAAAAGGTGTCCCAGCACCACGTAGCTCCAAACTGCTTGCCTATACCACAACTTACTGGCTATTTCTGTTACTTCAGTGATGCCATGAGCTAATGACAATACAGAACTGCAAACGAGCCACTAGCGACACAAATACCAACTCAGTGAATGTTTAGTTACAGGTGCTCAAGCTTTTGCTAACTGGCAAATCATTGTTTTTACAAAATCTCTATCCTGAGAGGCTACATGCAGAAAACAGCTTTGTGTAAAGTTCTCTTTATTACAGGCAACATTAGTCCATACAATAATACACAATACTGACATACAAGTGTAATCTTTCAAAATCATCATTTAAACAGCAAAGACCAAGAAACAGAATTTTAACTACTTCATTTTCAAAAATTAATACTTTTTTCCTCTCAAGATCCTTTTTCAGTAAATTATATTGAAACATACAAATAGAGAAAAAATACCCATTCAACATATATTGTAGTTAAATGGTTATTTTGTTTAAAATCTTTAATAAGAAAATCATTTTTAGCAACCTACATATAGATAAGTAGCAAACTTTGTTTTAAACAAATCCTCTCCATTAAAAGATCTGAAGAATTTCATCCATCATTTTCTTAGCCACTAACACTCTCTTTTGCAATACCTTGATACCTGAAAGTTTTTCAACTGAAGGTCTGAGACTAGGGGGCTTCCTAGATATTATAACCACTCTTCCCCCCTTCTATTTCCTAACTTTCTGTCCAACAGGAGGTGAGTAAGCACATAATACTTCAGATTTTTTTAATCACCACTCTGTTTCATGAGAGCATAGACAGGTCTGCTCCATCCCCCTAAATCTACCATACTTTGCTGCTCAGGAGGAACAATGTATGCCAATAAAAGCAGAAAACCTGCAGCTTTTCTGTCACATGCTTTTGATTATTGTCAAATTTTCTGGTTTATGCTTCCAGCTGATAACATATATGTGTCATCTCAGTATTAGTTTAAATCTTTAAACAAAAAACTATATTTTCCAAAGTCATTATCACTGGGAGCAATCAAGTGGTCTTTTCTTGCTTTGCTGAGTTTCATTCTTAAAACTTGTCTTCGTTCTTCCCACTCACGGAGTTCAGCATTTCCATGGGCAAATTTACAGTTGTTTCCTTCAGTGCAAGTACCAGCCATATATCTGTTAAGACAGATTTTGAACAGTGTTTTCATAGAATTACCATGATCACTACTGTGTCTATATTTTCTTCAGGTCGTTTTTCAAATAAACTGCATAGTAAGGACAAAAATAAAATTGGAAGAGTATATACTTTTAAAAGTTAGATGGCACTAACTCTGTTTAGCATTTGGTTGTATTTTTGTTTCCCAGCTGACAAATATATACAGAGGACAACAGATGGCTCTTTTCTTTCTATTCTTCATGTTCCTACTTAGACTGAGACACTTAATGCTTGAAACCAACAAGTTCATCATGTTAATGAATATCTTACCATTTAACTCACTAAGCTAAAGAACGACTGTTGTTTTAAAAATCCAACTAATTAATTAGTTGGATAAACTAAAATTAGTTTGTTAACTAAATTTGAGATTAGAATACATAGAACACCTTAACATACCAGTCTGTATTCACTTTATACTGCATATCCAAGGTCTGTTATGTTCAAAGCAAATACATTTAGAATGCTACTTAAAAATCTAGTAAAGGGACATGTAAGTTTCCATGCAAAGACTGCAAATGAAAAATAACTTGCTTTCTCTGCTATGCAGTTTCTTAAGATCTCCAATACACTCAAAATCTCCAACTGAAAATGGAGTAACAAAGTACCAGCAAATTGAACCTTAAACTCCAGAATGCTCAAATCCAAAGCTTTTAGCTTTCCAAAAGGATTCCAACAGTGGAAGGAATTTTCAACATATTTACAAAAAAAAAAAAAATCTAATGAAGTCAGGTAGTAACAGGCTGCACTTAAGAATTAAAGGGAGCAGCAAAACGTACAATCAGTTCTGGGAAAAACCAACAGATCTTGAAAGTCCTTTTCCACCCGTTCATAAATAATTTCTAGTAACAAATACTCAATTTTAACAAATTTGGTTTGATGCTAACATGATTTCTACTTGCCTTAAGCTCCAATATCACTGTCCAGCTAGGTATTGTTCTTGGGCTCTAATTAATAAGCAGATGCCTAAGGAAACTTGTAATAATACCAACAATATTCACACAGCTGCAATGAACTTGCTACCATTCATTAACATCACACAGTTAATTTGGTTCCAAAATTAGGCACCTTGTCACTCCCTGAGTTCTAACATGTTAAAATAGTTAATTATTTAATTTCTTGTTGAAAGATGTATGCAAATCAAGAAATACTAGAAACTTTGTCAGAACTATATAACTGCCTTAATTATTTAAACTATGAACTTCCATTTTTCAACATTTTTGCCATCTTACAAAAGACATACCTATCACAAATGCTAAAATATCCAGTTGGAAAGCGATACTGCCAGCAGTTCTGATCATCCTCAGTGTGGAAAACCTTCTCCTTATGCTTTTCAGAAGATATGTGACCCTGCCATTGCTTCTCACTATTACAGTTCTTCCCACACATCCAGCAATGAAAATCCACCTGTTTTAACAAGGAATTTGAAAACAAAACATTGCAAATTCAATGCTGTAAGGACAGAACTTTTCCTAATACATTTTGAATGTTTTCTTTATGTTGGCCAGTAGGATATTCTTTAACTAAACAGACACAATTATTTAAACAAGCACCTAAAGTTTATGATGTCCCCTGGCTTTAGAATAACTGAGGTACAGTGTCAATTACATTTAGTACAGTCATCTGTGGTCTAAGGAAGCACCAAGAAAATAAGGGAAACAACCTAAGTTACTGACTGGGAAAAAAAAAGCCCAACAAACCCCCATATTCTTGGATTTGGATTATACCCATGATTACTTACTGTAACTTCAGCATAGTCAGTTGGCATATGAATTTGCTTCCCATTTTCTCTGTTTGCCTGAGCAGCTGTATCATCTCCTTTTTCTGGTTTTTGAGTTTTTAGCCATATGTCATACAACTGCTCCAAGTCTTGAACTAATGAGAGCAGAAGCTAAAATAAGTAATTAGCAATTAAGGCAAGAGTTTGAGAACACTAGATAAACTACTGAGTTTGTGAGCATAATTCAGTCCCCACCTAGTCTAAGAAGAAAAAGGAAGGAAACAGATGTTGACAGTTACACAGAGATTAAGAGCCAGGGGAAGAGGCATCTCTGGCTACTCACCAAACGCCTCTTGAGGGGACAGAAAGAGATTACAGGTTTCTGAATGGGCACCCAAAGTACAGATAGCAACTCTGCTTCTGCATATCAATTCTGAATTTCAACAAACTAATCTCGTGTGCTACAGCTTTTGGTAAATTTAGTTTGCTTTCTTGCAGACCATGATCTGATCATTTATGTCATTTATTACTTCTGATTTTTGATGTTTTCTCCCTAGTAACACTGATGGGATAGTGAAGTCAGCCACAAAAAGTGAATGGTGATTCCCAGTAAATACACTGGGGAGGATTGTTCTGCAAATAGTTTCCCCCATATGTAATTCCATCAATCCATGTGTGTGCACATGGCAATACAAACACCAACTAATACTGCTGCAAGGATCAATATATCTAAGACACCTAAAAAAAACCAACACAAACTATTGTTAGAAAACCCATCAAGCAGTGAATACACAATACAGCTACTTTTATTTAATACTATTTTTGAATGCCTGGTCTTGGTTTATTTAAATTCAAAGACAAGGGCACCTGGAAAGTTTACTACAAGAGATAATTAAAGAAATTGGATTAAAAAGTAATTGAAGTACAAAAAAGAAAAAGCAGAACAGTTGGATTTACAACATGTTAAGATTTACTCTTCTACTTACTGCTGTTCTCCTTCATATAGGTCCACATCTCTCTCTCCTCAGGACTGTGAGCAAATGAGCAGTTTCCATCATACTGACATTTCTTGCCTGAAGCAATATGATTGCACAACTGGAACATGAATTTAAAGAAATCCTTAAGAATATAAAGCAGAATGGATGCTAGTAGAATTCTTAGTATTTTTTTCAGTCTTGGATAGTGTTTCCCGTCCAAGTCAAACATTTATATAATGTGAAAAATAAAAATGTTTATTTTACAAAAAAACTCATTTGTAGTTAAAAAAGAGAACTGCTGAAAGTAAGTGCCTCCCACCACACTACCAGACCCCAGATAGGTATAAATTATTTCAGAAATATTTACTTCCACTGACAAGTAAGGACTTCAGTAGTAACATAAGATCAGTGCTTTCCTAAGGCTGAACATTGTAAAAACACTGTGAACGTTTTCCTACAAACTCCCACGGGAATTTCTACAGAACTGATGAAACCAGCCCAATTACTAGTATTTTCCAGTGACTAGTACCTATTTCCTTAACCAAAATGTTAGTTTCAGGTTAACATACATCAAACTGCAGAGGCACTTGTTTCTTTGCAGGCAGAGGACGAATGGTCATCCACTTCTTACGTTCATTAGACATTACCAGCACCACACGGCGATCTTTGCTCCATCTGGAAACCACAAGCATTCAATGAAAGAAAATACTATTAAAAAAAAAACAACACAACTTCTGCACAAAAGCAGAACCAGGGAAGCTCAGACAGTTTGTTTTTAAAGCTTTCATCATATATTTAAGGTTTCTTAAAGTTCTATAGAAACTTGACCAAAACCCTTAATACAAAAAAAACCTCCAAAACCAAACCACAAACATTTTGGTAGCCATCAAAGTGTTCTCAGTACCAATTATTGGCATACCACAAAGAGATAACTCTGTTCTACTTCAATATGTTTGGGTTTGTTTGCTTTTAATTCCTGTATGACTCTTTCCTAAGAAGCAACAGCTTCCCAAAAGAGGTTCTAAATGGCTGACAAAACAGTGGAATTTTCACTGTTTGATCTTACTTACGGGTGTCTTGCCTTTGCACTACAGTATTTTTTGTTTCTGTCTGGCTCGCTAACTTGACCATTTCTCCAGCACTGCCCACAAACAAACTTCATCTTCAAATTAAGTGATCCATATTTCATTTGGTTCCCAAGAATCTTAAGCAAAAAAAAAAAATAACAACAACAATAAAAGGAATTTTTTATCTGCAAAGAAATCCATACATAGTTATTAATTACGCCCTACAGCAGAGATTTCAACACATGTTGGGAAGCAGGTATTACACTGCATGCCTTCTAACAGCTCAGCTTGTCATTTCAAACTAGACATTTCTAAACAAATTCATTTTTTTATTGAACTTATTTCTGATTTAGGTACATGTGCCCTGAAGTTGTGATAATGTGTACAGACTGAACACATAAAAGCGCTACATATTGAAAAGATAATTAATTGCCCTAGAGCAGCTGACTTTGAACTTATAGTTACATTTTATGTTCCACCTGGGACAGAACAAGGAAAGCAAAAAAGGAGTTGCACAGCAGCAGAGCAGGCATTTTAGTCTAAGTGAGCAAGGTGAAGAAAGCCTATATTGAAAGAAATTATTTGGAAAAAATTTAAAAAGTAATTTCTAAAATAAGCTACATTACATACACACATTAAAAAAAGTATTATTACCACAGTCACTGCAAAATTAGTTGAATGGAAAAATGAAAATACCTGTGATCCATGTGCACTAGCTTCCATGTTCTGCCAGTACTTCTTTGATTCTTGAACTATAGTATCATGTGAAATACCTGTAAAGGAAGGGAAGCAATCTTTGAGTACTTATGACTCTTGCAGCCTTACAGACAGGCTCAGAGTGGAATGCAACTGAAGCCCCAAAGCTTTGATCCATTTTTCTTTTTGTGTATTGTGTAAGTATTCACACACATGTGATATACATGATATACATTTACATCACAGATATGATGTGATATCCATACACACACACAAATGCATACACACAAACACTTAAGAACATTGTAAGGCATCCAAAACAGAAACGTTGGCTGTATCATTCCAATGGAAAGCATACAAGGTTTTTAAATTAGAGATTGCTCACATAAGGTTAAGGGGCATCTTTCAGTATTTGAATGTACTAGAGCTCTAATGCCAATGTAATCATAAAACCTACACTGTATGTCCCTCTCCAAAATCCAAGCTGAGAGGCACCAGGCTGCTCCTGCTTGCTTCCTGCACTGATTCCAAGCTGCTGATTTCAGACGGAGTCAACAAAAGGAGGGAGTGACAATACAATGAAGAGTAAAGTGAACATTTTACTAAACATACCCGATTCCTTTTGCATTATCCAGACTTTAAGCTCTACCAGACTGTGAGCATAAAAGCATTTATCCTCCCGCAAGCAGCCATAGTGCACCTCATGTCTGCACAGGTCCAGCTGACACCGAGCTTGGAAAGGGCGGATCTTGGAATACTTCACCATCGTCTCTCGCAAAATGTGGACAAGGCACCTGTTTAGAAAATAGTCAGTTTTAGACATTCTTTAAAATAACCATCCTTTACTACAGCTTATTCAAATATCCTTTAAACACTTCTTACTTGAAATCAGAAAGTCAGGAAAGTTCCCAGAAAGAGGCCACATCTAAGCATTGTTTTGAGGCTGAGTAAACACACTAAACTGCACTGAACAGTACTCTTGGGAATCCAGAGTCCCTCTTCTGCAAAGCATTATTGAATTCAATCCAGATGGATCACTGGTTTCCAAGAAGGAAAGCAGATCATGCCTACTTTCAAGTATATATCCAGATCTAATTAGTAACCCACGTACTACAAAGCAATATTTATAGAGCACCAATTAAGGAAGAGGTGATGCAGAACAGTAACAGCCTAGCTCTTGCAGCAGCAGCACTTCCTCAATACAGGGCATTGCAATTCAAAGAAAGCAATTCCAATGCTCCCATTTACTTTTAGATCATACAAGGACAAAAGGTTCTTTGTTCTCCAAAACTTATTTTCTACTGTTACAACCATAACAACTTTTTAAACTTTCCAAGAACAATTAAAGACACTCCTCTCACTTTTTTATCAACTGAGTTAATAAGGACTATGGTCTATTTTATAGACTGTAATTAAGGTAAACCCGAGTTAAAACTACAGCAAAATAAGCAAAACATCAAAGAAAGAGCAACTTTGGAATTCCTGTTTTAATTTAATATTACCCATCTATTTACAGCAATACAGCTCACCAGGTGGATAAGCTATTAACAACCGGACACCAAATCCCGTAAGATTCAAAGTTGAGGGTAGACACCACTAATTTTGAGTGATTGATAAAGAAATAGCTCACTTTAATTTGGTTACATTTGTCAAACCTTGCTCTTTAAGTCTGTCTCGCCTGCCCTGCCAAAGCGTAACAGTCAGCAGGAAGAGAAGTTGACCAACAGATAAGAAATTAAAGTCAGTATTAAAAACTGCCCTTGCTTTTAAATTGCAACTTATAGAGATGGTATTTCAAACATACTTGTTATCTTCAAAGTCATGCATAGCAGGGTGAGAACAAGAAGATGAGTTATCCTTGTTCCTTTTGCTTATTATTCTGGGCTTGTGATCAAAACATTTCTGGAACAGAAAAACAAGTAATTTTACTTGTCTAAAAGTATATATTTTAGACAATTAAAAATATACCTTACCCTAAAGATTTTAACAGATACTTCATTTAGTCTCTAATCTAAAGGCAGCTAGATAATTACTGAAATCTGTTTCAAAAGTTACAAAATAGTCGTGTGTAAACCAAAGCATTTCTTTCCACATAATTATCTATTACCATTTTTATTGTGTTACGAGAAATAAAGCAGCACCTCACAAAGGAACATAAATAATCCGTGGTATTCTTGAAGAAGTTGGGACACAGTCAAGTTGATCTTCCCAGGTCCCCCAAAAAGAGCTTCTCGACTGAAGGCGCCCTTGCGCTCCAGCGTCCACACATCGATCTCCTCCTGGCAGTAGGCAAACGTGCAGTGCCCTGGGTACCTGCACTCCTCCTCAGCAGCCACATCTCAAAGGACAGCAGCAAACAGGGCATGGCTTTTACACAACTTTTCTTGGAAATTCATCTTAAAACTTCCACTCTATCAGTTTCAAATACTTTTAATAAATAAGTTACAGAGATCTGTTTTAATTCTGTCACTTAAATAAAACAGAAGGAAAACCTTATGCTGAATGACTTGGTGAAAACTCCTCCAAACAGCAAACAATTAATGCACACCTCTATCAACTATCCTGCACTAATCTACGGCAACGATGCCAAGAACCCAGAACACCCCCTGCTCAAATAAAGCTGCCCATTAACCCACGTCATCTTGCTTACATCCTAATTAGAGGTTCACATTGCAAAAGTCTAACAAAAATGCTTCTTTATTGCTGTGTTTAACAGTAATCATCCAATACTCAAAAGCAAAATTATTCCTGATGGAGAACAGTACAGAAGTACACTGCCTGTTCTCTAAATAATCATATTAGTGGTCAAGATATGGCTCTCCTTACAGCCTTTGAAATTATAAACAACCCAAAATTAACTTCTCCACCTCCCAAAAGCATAAAAAAAATTCCTTCTATACTTCACTATAGAAAAGTTAAATTGCATTACTTTCAGCATTACCAGGTTCCCCTCTGTAACACCTACCTTTACATATATGATATGGTCCCACATACTGGGTCTTTGTTGGTCTTGGACGTATTTTTTTCCATGATTTATCTTCAGAGTTTTTTATTCTGCCAATTAAAATATCCTTCTTACATTTATGTTCTAAATTGGGATGATAAGCATAATCCAATAATTTAGGACCTGAAACAATCACAGAAAATTGCTTGTATTGGCATAAATTGCATCAAACATGAACATGTCCATACACATATTGGCACAGAAGCCCAAAAGCAAAGTACACAAATATTGTACAAAATTCCTACTTGCACCAGCAGCTCTGAAGAATCAAAAGTCATTAACCACCACACTGCGTAAAATAGAAAACTCAAATACTTACAAAAGGCAGTCTCAGCAAGAAAAAACCCACAAGCTATATTTGGGGAGGGTTGCTGTGTTACAACCTTAAGGTTTCTCGGGGTCAGCAAATTGCTGCATTTTTTCATATTACAAAGTATCAATTCCAGTAACACTAGTTTAATATGTAAATTGCTTATGTATAGTAAGTCAATGCAGGTGAATTCCAGTGATCAGTAAATGGCTCTCTTAACCTTCAACATTTATTTTATTAGGAGAGGTACTAAGCTCAGAGACAAAACACACTTGGTAGAAAGTTCACACGTGCCAAAAAGATAAATGCCAATCCCAGAACCTTGTGATTTTGGAAACAAAAATATGCCTAGCTTCAAACTCTGTCTTTAGGATGGCACTAAATGAAGACATCAGGAAGAGCATCTGAAGACGAGCAAAGTTCAGTGAATTTTGCTATTCATGAGACTGAAAAACAAGAGTATGACCCAGTTTTCTCTGGACAAGAAGATGATGGAACAGTGTCATTTCAAAAGGCAGTAAAAGCAGGAGACACTTAAAGGCTTTAACAGAGATGGAAAGAAACAGAGGAAGTAGATGCATTGACACAAAAAGTGAAGCTAGGAACATGCTAAGTACTCTCACCAATATGTTATAGCTCCAGCTTTAGCAAAACATGTTCTGTGGTTTTTCAAATTTCCCTTTGTGGATTTTTCTAGTAAAAATAATTTAAAACTAGTACAGAAGTTCTTAAGGGTACAATAGTCATCCCCTAAAGGTCTCAATACAATTGTTTATTAGTATACTGATATCAATGATACCTGTAACTTCAAACACAATGCTTATTTTTAAGATTAGTTTTAATAGAAGCTATTGCTTTAGAATATGACTCTGTTTAATAGCAACAGCTCAGGCCTAAAAGATTAGTTATATTAATGACCAATACTGGTTAAGCTCCTTTAAGTCAATACAGTGGAGTTAATTATTACTAAGGTTTGGAAGCCTCACGATTATGATTTAGAATTAGTTTGAAAGAACAAGAAAACAGATGGGATGTGAAGGTTACCAGGTACTTTGAACTGCAGTTCAATTCCCCATGGCCAATCAGAGAGAGTATTGCAAGTTTTATTTAGTCTTGAGCAAAGGTGTCATTCTTCACAGTACCCTGGGGTTTGGGAGGAAAGCGGATACAGAATGTGAATGACCTTACACACAGGGAAAGAGTGTGGTCATTTGTGCTGGGTTTAGAAATCAAGAAATCTATTAGGACAAGAAACAAAGACAGCAGGAAAGAAGATAAAACAGTGGCTGAAATATTTCACCAATCATAAGATCGTGCTATATCTGCAAAGAACAAGTCAGGATTAACAGGGTTTAGAAGCCAACAGTGTTAAATTATCAACATGAATATTTTAAAGGTATCCTCTTTAATTTAAAAAAACAATCAACCCCATCAACTGAAATAGCTCCTTACCTTTTTTGACAAAACATAACTGGCAGGCCTGTCTTAGCTCATGTGTGCCTTCCAGTGGGTTCCTTCCCACCAGTGCTGGAGATACAGGTATATTAGCAGTTGTACTGCTAAAAACATTGGAAAAGTCATTTCTAGTTTGGCCTGCAATTCCCATGTAATTTTCGGACCCGAACAGACTACTAGGACCATTTATCTGTTGAAAGAAAGTGTATTTTAGTTGATACACAGAATTTATTTATCTACAATTAAAATTTAACCTACTGAGATTTTTCTTCATAGCCATAATATGAACTTCAAACACATGTCTGAGAAGGGACATGGAGATTTCACAAAGGCCACATACACAGCACAAACTAAGTATAAAACAAGAGTCACTCAGGTACAGGCAGAACAGCAGCCTTTGTGAGGATAATTATTACTCCCTCCTGGCTCCTGAGGATTCAACCCTTCCTGCCACCCTTCCCCACAATCAGCGCCAGCAGCGCGACTGAAAATGCACAGCACGACTGCAATACAGAGAGCACAGATCCTCAGGCACACAGTGGCATCTGCTCTGCTCCTGTACTGGGACTGTTCTTCAGGATGCCTAGTGTTTGCTACTCAGATCATAAGGGATTTTATATTAGTTATTTTACAATTCAACAGCATTTTACAGCAAGTTCCTCAAAATGGAATAATGGTTGTGATATCAGTCAAAATCTCATACATAAAAGAACCTCCATAGATTTTTTTCTTTGTTACCATTGCTGTAAATCCCCAAGCCAGAACCCACTTTTAATGGTAGAAGTGCTATTTTTCTGAAAAGAAACTTCAGCTGTAAAAATGCAGATCTGTGTAAAGCCTCCAAGGTGATAACCTTTGAACTGGTGTGAACAAAAACATGAAAGATACGTACAAACAATGGGGAATTATTGCTGTTAAGTGTTGGTGTTCCATCTCTAGAAGCTGAACTTGAGATGTCTAAAAGAATAAAAACATATTTCGATTAAATGAGTTCCCAAGAACACCCCATGCAAAAAATAATTTATCATTCCTGAGAAATATCAGAGGTTTGGTTTTTTGGACAAGCACCAATGTTTTTTTGTTTGCTACAGTAAGGTTTTTTTTAAATTATGTAAAAGCCCCTTGTAAACATCTGGGCTGAAAAGTTATTAGGCAATCATCTTCAAAATATACACCTGGTTACCATCAGCAGTACTGGCAGACACTGAAGGCAGATTCACAGGCAGATACTGAAGCAACATGAAAATACTTGTTCAGTACAAAAAGGGGAGCAATATCTGACTATGAAAAAATGAGTTGATGAAAGAGGGGTAAGAGGATTCTTCAACTTTTTATTTCATTTTGTAAATCTGGCTTTGTTCCGAAGACAGCATAGTCCTGTAACACTGATAATTTAAGACAAAATGTTCTCTATTTTATCTTTTGTAGTTTGTTACTTGTATCTTGTTAGTTCACATACCTGATTTCACTACATAATTAGTCTGTGCAGTTTGAATCCAAGCATGTAATACTGGTACCTTTTCAGAGTACACAGTAACATTACCCTTTTAGAATTCTGTTTATTGCCAAATCATGACAAATGGTTTAAGCTGTAAGAGCAAGATTGTTTAAAAAAGAAAGTTTGAGGGAATAGTATTTCTTCTTTAACCTTATTCACCTGAAACAAATTTACGTAATGGATATAGAAAAACCACACAGAGGGAGCTTGAAGCATGCTTATGCAGAGCCCAAGGTAACAAATACTTTATTTATTAATTCTTATATACAACCAACACTCAAAAACTATTAGCACAGCTCAAATGTTATGTGTTAAATATTACTAATAGTTGTGAAAACTGATTTGTTAAAAAGGAAAACCACTTGGCTCGTGCACAACTCTCATCACCATAAAAGGTTACATATTAAGACTAATTTCTTACCTCTTTTTGGGTCACTGATTGAAAAAGTGCTTAATGGTGAACAGAAGTTTTCCAGAGATGAAGCCAAAGGCTGTGAAAAGATTTCTGAAAGAGAAGCTGAAGGAACAAATCCTGCGGTAACTGGCAGTGTCCCCAATAAAGAGGCAGAAAAAGGTACACTAGGAGCTACACTCCCTGCAGGAATGGGTCCTCTGGCTCCTGTAGTTTGCTGTAAAAAAAAAGAATTAAAAAAGAATGTTCAGACCAAGCAAGAAAGGCCTCAGGAACAAAATCTGCCACAGTATTTCTTTTAGTCAAGTTTCTGCAAAGTTTTTGTAAACCTACTGAAAAACATTAATGACAGGTACACCACAGAGCTGCAGTAAGCAAGCCCTGAACAATGCCCCAGGTGCAAGGCAATATCCACTGATCAAACACTTTAAAGGCTGTTACCAGACACTCAGTCAGTAAGAGATCTGGATTTTTTTATCCATCAGATTATGGCTGAATTTCCAAATTATGGTAAAAAATAGACACCACGGAAGAGTGGGAAGAGTCAGATATCAACAGGATTTGTTTCTAAATAAGGAGACTGTAATTCAATTTTGCTGTTGCACAGCAAAAGAGGTATAGGTTGGCTTTGAGGTAAGTCCTCAGATCCAATCAAATGACAACACGTTCTGCAAAGGCCAGGTCACATTCCATCCTCCCATGAAAAGTAACATATCCTCTGTACACTTCTGTTAAGGACATACCAAGTGGGGGAGTTTCCCCTCCCTTCCTGCCATCCCAAGGAGCTCCCTCCTTGTCTGGGTGTTGAGTGAGCAGGTCTGCACAGAGTCTGCCCAGTTAGACACTCCATGTTCCCCCAGTTATCAGTCTGCAATTCACTCAGTTCTACACTCCATGAGACTGCAGTCTCTCTTGGAAGACAGCATTTCCTCCTGGCTTTTATTATGGTAAACATCCTAGGATCTCTTAAAAATAAATACTTTCTCTATTTCTGACACATTTTTATAAAGCACAAAGTGCATAAAATAGAAAATAAGAAATTCAAGCATTTTTTATTTAAAGTTTTGCAACTGTAAATCAGAGAGTTGATTGAGGAATTAAAATCACAACTGCAGAACTGAATGTGCCACAGCCTCATTTAACACTGCAATACAAATGCAATACAAAATAAATACTCCAAATGACTGTCAGGGCCAGAGCAGGGAGTCAGTAACCTTGGTAATAGGTTCAGACATCTCTGCTCATCAATCAGAGCTCTCAGTTTGACTAAAAACTGCAGAACTCTGGAGGCTTCACAGTCTGCCCTAGGTCTGGCATAATGATGTAAATAGGAACAACACTTCATAGAATTACATTTCTCCAATATCTCTTCTAAAAATACAAAAAGTCAGACTCCCAATGGTCTATTTCTGTTCAGCCAGGTGGTGGATCTGGACAAAGTTTTGATTGCAGAGACACCAGTGAGCATCCTGGATGGCCACAGCCCAAGTACCACTCTGCTGCAAAGCTTTTTGCTTATGTTTAACTATAGTTTCTACACCTAGAGGGTGAGCATTTCAACCCACTGTTCATGTTTTCTAAGAGGGTTTATTTGCACAGAAAACCTCCCAAAAAGCCACACTAGCCCAGACTTCAAATGTCCAATTCACTTTTCACAGTACATCCTCTGAAATTGGTAGTAGCATAACAGTATTTCTGAAGCAGGAGTAGCCCTGCCATCTTCACAGCCACATTTACAAGAATCTGAAAAAAAAAAATCAACCTGACTATGCCCAAAGACAGCTCAATGTAACTAGGAAAGGTAATACAAACATCACCACTAGCACACCTGATAAAAATATGAGATCCCACTCATAAAGAGAGTCTTCCAAGAAAGAAAACAGACAAAAAAGTCTTACCATTACACTTTCATCTGGATCAGGCACAGAATCAAGTAACTCATCAAGTTCTTCTCCAATAATTATATCTCCATCTCCACAATCTAAACATGCTTCTGGCATAGAGAAAGAAACATTCCCTCCATTTGCCAACACGGCAGAAGGCAAAGGAACCTTTTCCATCTGAAGAGGCATAACAGTAGGTAAAGGTGGTACAGGTACTGGTGACACTTTAGACACTTCAGAAACAAAGTTTGATGAAGAAGCAGCAGAAACCATCTCTTGTTTCTGGTCAGATAAATCTGAAATAGGTAAGATGGGAATGACTGGAACCTTTGTTCAAAGATGCCAGAAACTCCTGCATTGCTTTTACCCTGACAACGTGGAGGGTGAGAGAGCGAAGAAATGCAAAGAATGTTTAAGCAAAACCACATCAAATGTTTTCAGCTTCCATCAGCTGCCAAATTATGTGCATCTTTATCTCAATGTTTATTTATTACTCAAGCTAAAACAGACGGAAAAAGTTACAGACCTGATACTTTATTAAAGCTTTGGCATATTCTCCCCTCCCTATTTTTTGAAGCTGAAGAGGACATGGAGACAATCACTACAGGAGCAGTTACAATCATATCAGGTTGAGGAGGCCAAAGCAAAATCTGCTCAGCTACCTAAATATGCAGTTTTAGAGATAAACAGATCAGACTTTTACCCCAGTACTTTCAAATGACCAGATGAATTTTCATCCAGATTTTCCTAATGCAATGGAATATGTATGGCACATCTAGCTCCCTAGCATTAGTAATGTAACACAAGACTCACCTAACTCAATATCTTCTACAGAAGAATTCTGTAAATGAGAAAAAAATACCTCTCAGCCACAAGAGCCATTAAAATTTTTCAAATACATATTTACAGATAAGGAATATAAGCCCTCTCAAATTTAGGTTTTATAAAATCTCAAATTTACAAAGTCTAATGTGTAAAGGTCAAAATTTGCAACCAACCAACCAAAGTGAGAGTGATACTCAGGGAACAAAAGAGTCTAAGTGGTATCTTAAATTAACTGTTCCTAAATTTCCTCATCACTTTACACCTAAACTGTCTATATTCATGTGAAAGAAGTCTGTAAGATAAAGATGAACTCCTCTTCACTACTGCTATTCAGACACATTACAAAGAGCAAGATAAATGCAAGTTCAGCTGCTAATGAAGATCAAATTTGGACAAATGCATGTAAGTAAAAGGGATTTTATCCCAGCACCCTTAATTTTGAAAATTGTCAACTAAATAAAATTAAAAATAAATCCATTAACTTCGCTCTTGCCTCAGGACATGAAAAAAATACATATGCATTGCATTGGATTTAATCTTTTAGATAACATTTATTCAACAACGATAACTTGAATAATAATCTTATGTCCTAGTCTGCCATACGTGTCCAGCAAAACTGAACACAACAGAACGCCAAAGTCCCAAATAACAGCCTCTAATATAAAATGTCAATTGCGCTCCTGTCCCTTTATCATCATGAAATTATGAAACAATTATTCCCTGTAGTTTACAGTCAGCTTGCACTTGGAACACGTAAAACCTTACCTGAGTTGATACATCACTAGAAACTGAATTTGACGAGGGTGGCTACAAAGAAAAGACACTTTCATTAAATACAAATTTGACATCAAAAGAGGGAAACCTTAACATAAAATGTTAAAGTAAAATCTTACCTTTGCTCTAACATATGCTTTCCTTATTTTTAACCCTAGTTTTTGAGCTAGTTCTTGAGTAAGCTTAATCACACTTTCATCCTAAAAAACATAAATAAAATTTCATAATTTACATGTACTATCATCAAGCAAAGACATTTGTTTATATCTCAGTCTGTATTCTGCAAGATCCCTACATGCAGGATGTCTGAAAATGCAGCTTTATTCTTTCACAAACACAGGACTGAAATCTGTATCTGAAAATACAGCTACCCTCAAGCAAAAACTATGGTGACAGAAAATGGACAGTATCCACTTTCCCCTTTTATTTGGATTTAAAATAATATAAGACTTTCCAAAGCCAGAGAAATTCAAAGAAGTGTTTTATTGTTTTCTTTTCTTTTCTTTTCTTTTGTTTTTTGGGGTGTTTTTTGTGGGTGGGCATTTTTTGTTTGTTTTTTTGAGGAAGGCATTTGTTCTTTAAGGGGATGGGGGTTTGTTTTGTTGTTTTGCTTTCACACAAATTGAGTGCCATATTCCTGATTAGCATATGAGCTAGTACATGACATTGATGAATATGTAATGAGCACTCTGTATTTTGGGAGGCATTGCATCATACTACTAGAATTAAAAATGTCATTGTATTTCCCTCAGTCCTACAGTTATAACTACCTATTTAAAATATTTTAAGATTTAGTATTCAGATCACATCCTACAGCTAGAAAAAGCTATTTATAAAACTTACATAAAGGCTTATTAACCTTAAGCAAAAACATTCAGATCCGGAGGTGCAAAGTGAGGATCCAAAGTCCAAAGTTTCATAATCAGATGAACTGTTTATGTCTTTGGAAACACAACTGAAACCTTCTGTCTATCAAGAGGCAAACCTATGCCCAACACTTTGTCTAGTGTCTCACTGTAGTTTTGATGCAGCAAGTCAGTATTTTATCCTGTGATCAGTCTACTTTGAGCAAAGCATGTAAAGATTCCATCAGCATGAGGAATCAAATCAGGAATGCATTTCTGAAGTGAAATCTCTCAATCATCCTCACTCACAGTATTTTAGTTTGCATTGTGAAGTGTCCCAGAGAACTAAAGTGGGTTTGGATGTAACTAAAACCCTGCAGGAATGCACTTGATGCACTCCAGCTCCTAAAAAACCCAAACAAATAAAAAAACCCAACCCAACTACACAAACGATCATGGAAAGCAGATCCTCAGGACCAGCATTTCAGGGTACAGATCATCTCCTACACCACACAGTGCCTGCTAACACATACAGAGCCCAAGATTCAGGGTGCACTGCAAGTGATTCACAGTGAGAACAATGCACTGCAGCAATGTTACTAAACACTTGGAAAGCTAAAATGCAGTTATCAAAAGAATAAATGTACATTATAATTATGGTGGGGTTCTCTTCACATCATAGAGAATTTTAAACAATTAATTCAATGCTTCTAGTGCTTATTGCAAACATTCATGGCACTTCAACCCTGCTGCATTTCTTCTGCTGAAAGTTAACACAAGAAACTGAGTTTGGGGACTATAATCTCTGCCCTCAGTCTGCACTTCCACAAGAAAAAAATAATGCTTAGAGGAATAAAAAATATTTTCTAGCAAAAATTAAAAAACCCCAAACCAAAAGAAATAACCTTGGTCTTGAAATAAGTGTATGTTTCAAAACTTTAAAAATAATTACCAATACACAATTTACCCACCTGTGGCACAGCAAGAGAACATTTTGCTACAGCATCATAAGCCTTCTTATAGCTTCCCAGTTCATTCAAAGCTTTTGCTTTACGATAGAGAGCTCTGAAATTGTTTTCATTCAATCTTAATGCTACCTCACAGTCCTCTAGAACTTTTTCATGCAAACCCTAGGAGGAGAAAAAAAAACAACAAAACCACTAATGAGAACTATTATCATGGAAATAGTGAATTGAACTGCACTGGACAAAGATATGGAAACACTACCAAACAGTCACCAAGGCCACTGCACAGGGCATGTGTAAGTTTTGCTAAGTCACCAAATTAGGCAACTAAAAACAAGCAGTGCCATCATTACGTAAAATGCAGTATCAGTCACAAGGAAAATGCAGCTCTTTCACAAGAGCCATCTTGTTCCACAGAGAAAGCAAAAGCAGCCAACTCAGTGCAGTCAGCAGTGTAAATGGATAAAAATACAATTCCATCAAATTCCAAGACCAGTATGACTCTTTTATGTCAATTCTAGTATTATTAACTAAAATACCTCCATTATACATGTAAAAAGCTTTTCAAGAACATGCCAAAGAGATTATTTGAAACATGTCAATCTTCAAACTGCAATCAAGAGCTTTTCACTCACTAGACTTTGTGTCTTCATACCCTGTTTGCATCCTGATCTGGAGAAATCCTAGTTTAAACAGAAGCTTACCATATTTGAAAAACACGCAATCCTGTTCACATGTAGCTTCTCTAAAACATCATCAGAAACATGGATTTCTTCTGAATTTGCATAATCAGCTATGTTTATAGCTTCTGTATAATGACTCAGTGATCCTCTCCAATCACCTTCTCGATATACATCATTTCCTTCATGAAAAAGATTTCTAACAAGATCTCGTATAAATAACTGCAACAAAGAAAAGGAAGATTCATCAATAGCAGTTGCTTGTTTATCTTCCATATTACCAAGAAAAATTTTAAATAGAAAATGTGTACTTGTAACTCCACAGAATCAGAGTGAAATGTAAAACTTTTGTCTACATTAGTGTTTTTCTTCCGACATTTTTCTTCCAACATTTTTCCAAGACAATCTCCTATATATATATATATGTTCCATATACTCTTTCAGCAAGCAGCAGCCATAGCAACTGACAAAGCAGGAGAACACAAAAGCTGCTTTGTAAAAAGGGTATTTTTGCCAAAATGTGAATGGCAGCATTTTTATCTAATATGTTCTTCAATCCAATGAAATCACCTACACTGGAAAAAGAACTAAAAAGACAAGTCTGAAAATACAAGCTGAAATTATGCAAAATCATAAGATATGCAGAAATAAAATACGTTCTGAAGGTTTCTGTGACTGAAGTCCTGTTATTTTACTTTTTCTGTGCTACTCTGAGCTTTACTCAGAATAACACATTGTTTTTTTCCATTAATGCCCCAGCAGAGAAATACTTCATCTCAACTGCTGTATGAGTAAATTCAGGACACCCAAATATCTGAATACCTGTATCATAATGTTAGTAGTTGTCCAGTTCCAATTTTGAGACTTTTAAAATTACCATTCATATCACATCATCACCTAAATGATGATTAAAACCAAGATTAACTATAACAATATAGGTCCATTTAAAAACTCTTCTGGAAATTAAAAAACCGTTTCATTACCTCATATTGTTCTTGCGTCCCTGGATAGGGCAAAGTGGATCTAGAAAAAAAATTACAAGCTTCACTTATTATACATATTGCTTAAAAGACAATCACACTGAGGAATGCTGGTTCTTAGTAAAAGCAGCCTTGCTTCTGCAACAGGCAAATCTCTGAATATTGCCCACAGCCTGCACTGAACAAGGAAAAGTGCTGTAGATGAGTTTTGATCAAAAAACTGAGTTTTCTTATTACTAATGGCTTACTTTCTTTTGAAGTTACATGGTCAATCTGACTTTGCTGTTCAAAATGTATTGAGATTTTGAATGCTTTGAGAATTTTAGACACACTGTTCTTTGAAAGTAATTTCCATCCTCTCCTCTCCTGTGCAGAGCCATGTTATAGATGAGGAGAACTGCAGTCTTCCAGTAAATACTATAAAATGACAAATTATCTATCAAAAACCCACATTAATTTTAATGAAGTCATACCAATGACACAATGGGAATTTTAAGAGTCCTTTTGTATGACATACAACATACAACAGAAAGGAGGCCTTTACGTCTACATTTTCAGGAAGAAAAGCAGTAATCCTTTCCTTCTGCATACAGGTTAACTGAGATTCTGTTTTAAACAGTTTTTAAATGGTCAGGGTTTTGTGGGGAGGAAGTTTTGTTGGGTTTTTTTGTTGGCTGGTTGATTTTTGTTTGTTTTTGTTTTCTAAGAATGCCATATATGAGCAGTGAACAAGTATGAAATTTCAAAATTATTTTAAGACAGCCAGGATCTTAAAAAAAAATTGGCATTGACCCAAATGAAAGTTAAATACTCCGATGATTTCTCAATAGCTTAAATTTTAGCTCCAGTAAGTTAAAACATTTAGACAGTCATGAGCAAACCCATTCCTTTCAGTAGCAACCTAGTTTTAGGAGTAGTTATTCTTAAGGTGGATTATCAGGCTACCAACATTTCCTACCCACCAAAAAAGATTAAATGCTATTTTTTCTTCAAATCAGGAAAGGAATAACCTGTCACCTTCAATCTGCTCTGTTTAGGAACAAAGAGAAGTGCTGTCTTTTCTTTAAAGCTGCTCCCTGTTTAACATGTTAGTGCTAGCAAATATTCTAAGGAAAAACACAAAAGGCCTTTCCCAGAGCCATCCATCTCATAGAAATATCTATAACATGTAAATAAAAATACAAGAATAAAAACCACAAAATCATACTCTATAAACTGGAGTCCTTTCTTAATGTCCTGTTGTCTAGTGCTTCTCTCTTCCGAGACATTGGACATGTTATCCTGAACATCCACTTTTCGGATATGCCACTCCTCAAAAAGGAACAAAGATAAATGGCTGTTATAATGTGCTTCAGTGTGCATTTGGCCCAGAAGGATCCACTCTCACATCAACACTGAGTCCATTGTACAAAGATGATTCTGCACCAAGCTTCAGAGACCCCTGCAGGAACTCCTGACACAGCTGAAGCACCCAGAGCAGCAGAGGGAGAAGCCCCAGGGCACAACCAGCATCCCCCCACCAGTGCCCAGTTACACAATATTGCTACAGAGAACCTTTCTTCCAGTTTCTAATTGATCTTTGGTTTCCACTCACTTCATGCAGAGGATGCAGAGTCCTGGCAGTGTAACTGCACCAAGCCACAAGCCCATCTTGTCAGGGATTACTGCTAAACTGAGCTGCAGTTCCACTGTCCCCTTGTAAGAGCTTTACACTTTTATTTGCTTGCTGAAGTGGAAATAAACTCAAGATCCTGGTACATTTATTAATAAAAACCAAACTGATAAGAAAGGCTATCATAAAGTCTAGTTCTACAGCATCTCATCATCCCCCAGCACTAAGGTGAAATTAGAAGCAAACACTGCTGCTTTATCAATATCTAGGGCTCAGCCAAGAAAACCCTGGACACTGTACCAGTAGCAAAGACTACCTACTTCGCTTGAAAAAACTGAATTACTTCAAGGTAATTCCACATTTCAATTAAATTTGTTTCAATAATTGATTTTTTTTTCAATTTGTGTCTTTAATTGACTGGATTTACAAATGCTCAAGTTAAACAAGCTAAAATGATCTGCATAACCTTCAAAAAAGGCTATTTGAAGTATGCTGTCACAATTGTACATTGTTATGCCCAACTGTGATGTAAGAATACAATTTATTTTTCCAAAAAGCTACCAGTAGGACAAAGTTTTAGTCTGAAAATACTCAAGTTCAGAAAAAGGCTTTTAGCTAGAGGAACTGTGTATGCTTTGTGAGGAAAATAACTTTTATGTAGGAATTTACAGTTAAAAAAAACCTGAACTACATGCAGTACAATTATGTTAGTCTGAAACAAAGTTAAAAAAAAGCCAGTATTTTGTGCCAGGTTGCCATTTCACATCAGTGGCAGAAGAATGACAACAAAGTAAAATGAAAAACACACTAAACCCTCCCAGCAAGCTCCACAAAATCCCAACTGAGGACAGAAACATGCTGCAGAAGATACCCTACTTTCTCTGAATTATTTGGAATAAGGAAACAATTAAAGAATCTTCAGCAATAATAATCGTAACAGTAATAATCTTCTCAAAGCCCCTTGAACAAATTTATTAAGTCTAGACTACTTCAAGTCATTACAAGTTATTCCTATTGTAATGCATTCCTAAAATGAGCATAAAAATAAGCAATTTTCTTAAGGTCATTAAACAAATTATTGGAAGCACTCCAAGGTCCCCATTTCACCTCACTTCCCACTGTGACCTCAGAAAGGGCAAGCTTTATAAAAAACATGAAACCAAAACTCAGTCTTTAGATAAATATCATGGACAGCTCTGGTAGTTCACTAACAGGAACTTCTCAGCTACTGCTTGCTTGGGTGTATAAACAGCCCTCAGCAAACTGCTTTCCAGAGAGGAATTAACTGTTTCTCATGATATTTTATGCACCACATTTTCTTCCATAAGTTAATAATATATACTATGCTTTTGCTATATGATAAAAGTTTTTAATAAATATCAGTGCACCCACGGAGAAATCAAAATATAAATGCCTAAAGGACATTTTATTGGGCATCTGAATGGTTTTTATTTATCACTCATGGATTAGGTTTTAGAATTCAAACAAAGTCTTGTAAGAATAAGAAATTATCACACTAACCAAAGAAAGCAGGAATAGTAGCACATGTTTTCCCTCAGAAGTAAGCTTTGAAAAACACATTTTAGTCCTGTGAATTAACAGCTGACAATGTAATACCTTGCAACACACAAGTATTGCATATGCCACAATCTGGGCAAAATTAAAATCAGCTTCACTAATTTTAAGAAATCCCAGTATTCCATCTCAACTTGCAATGACATGAGAAAAGCCCAACAAAGTGACACCTGCATTTATTTATTACCTCTAAGAGAACATTAAAAAATGATATATTGAACTTGAGGATGTGCAGATCCCATTTCTCCTCAAGAATAAAGTTAATGGAAATGTTACAAACTGGCATCGCATACATAAGAATAGCTAGCAAATGATGAACATATGTGAGTGCTGAAATTTATTATTCGAAGCAGCTTTCTAATTTTTTCCTACTCATTTGCATCCACAAGATATTCAGGCAAAAATTACCTTTTCTTTGACAGTCAAATTGCCCCAATATTTGATAATTTTGTAGAGGATTTAAAATTGTTCCAGATAGCACCTTTAATAGTAATTTTTCCACCCAAATTTTCCTTATATCCTCTGAAGCAACCAGAACATGGTTAAGACTCAGTTACATACAAGGCAAATAACAATCATGTCTTGCCTTTTAACGTCATCCATCCACTTTCCAAGATGAAACCCCTGCCTGTGTAGCAACTCCCCTTTTGCAGGGAAAAAAATTAAAGACAAATAAACTTATGTACATACATATATTCAAACAGTCTAAATGTTGCTTTGTTGCTTGAAAAATTACAAGAAAAGCAAAGCCTGAACTTTTGTTTTACTCTTTGCGCAATTCACTGAGAGAAACAACCTAAAAGAAAGAAAAAATAGTATGAGAGCTGAAAAAAAAGCAGACTAATGTATCACTAATTAACATCACAGGCAGAACTAATTGTTGCATTAAATGCAGTATTTCTATGACTGCTGCTATGAGAGAATTGAGCTATACAAGCTCAATTTAGTACATGTAGTAAAGAAAACAAAAAGCTGCCTAGACATTTTAAAGAACAATTCATCCTGTTTTATCTTCATCACAGGCTTTAACTCACGCTGTTTCTCAGAAGCAGAAAGGACTCTGCCAGGAAGCAGTGACACCTTTTGTGACCATGGTCCACCCATACAAACAGGAGGCACGAAGGACAACAGGTCTGTGCAGCGCAGGCAGGCAGGAACACCTGCACTTCTCTTGCTCCACTTCTCCCTTTCACAAAGCCACCTATGGCTCTCACTGGCTATCGGCCTTCCTTCCAGCACAGGGCAAGACAGATTTTTTTCTTTTCTCTATCTTAGCACTTCTAAGGCATTCAAGATACACTTCAAAGGACATTTCCATTATCTAGCATATACCAAGTGTCATATTCAGGCACGAGGGTGTTGAGTACAATTGCTAAACTACCTTTGCAAAGCAAATCTCTGGAACACAAGTGAATTAATTCATACAGAAGGCAGAAATTGAGTTTTTCTGTAGAGAGAATATAGGCCTTGGCTATTGTAAAAAGGAAGGTTCCGCTGTGTAAAACTATAGACAATTGAGCCTTTCAATTTCTAAACTGCAAAAAACTGCACAACCAGAGAGCAACTATGTACAGTTTGCCATGCACACAATTCAGTCCCACAGGACATGGAACTGGGAAGGGAACTGGGACTGATCCTTTCCCCTCTTGCACAGAGTTTAGCACATTGCTTCTTCAGAGATGAATGGAGAATGCTGTGAAAATGCATAACATCATTTGGGGACAGAACTACTCCCTCTGGGAATTACCAACCTTCAGCTGACCAAATAATTCTGTTATTGTTTGTTATAGATATTTATGGCTCTGGCTATTATAAATGCTTCAATTAAGCATTCTCTGCACCTTCAGGCCTAAATGCTGAAAACAACTGGAAGTCAGTGATCCTTGCTCCACTTCTCTCTCCAAAGAACTAAAACTTACAAAGCAAGGATAGTGTATAGATGTGTTCTTTTAAATTACAGGAGCACATTCTCCTGCCATGTATCACCATGTTCACTATTAACACATTTACAGAAATCTCAAATTTCTATACAGTACAAAGCACATTGAAAATTTTCTCATTACTGCAGCTGACAGATCTCTACCAGCCTGAGTGGTTCAGCTGAATTAGCGAATAAAATCATGCCAAGTGAAGAGACCCTTTCTGTATCCTGGCATCAGCCTTCTCCCCCTCAATTCTGACAGAAATGATCCCATCATCTACACCATCATATGTCAAAACTTTGGTCAGAATCCATGAAACCAGAAGCCTGTGTTATAAAATAACACCAACAACAGTTTACCACTGTTTCTATATAGGAAAACTGTACTCCAGAGAAGAGAAGTTATACCCTAGAATAAAGGGAATACTGCAAAGAGAAGAGCGAGACTGAAACAGAACAGCAGGAGTGAAGACATGACTAAGAGGCAGGCAATATAAATCCCTCTCACCTACTAGAAGCAAAAGCCTGTCTCTGCTGCTACCTCCTGCACCACTAACAGCAGCAACAAGCACAATACATCCAGGCATTCAGATCCAAAAGCTACAGACGTGCAATTCCCACCCCAGGGGCACAGGAAAGCAGAACTCTGCCCCTACAGAGCCAAGTGAGAAGTGGGACACACACCCAAATCGGTTCCTCAAGAGATGCCACCCCCACAAACACCTCCACTACCCCAGCCCAGCCAAGGATCCAGCTGGACATCGAGCACGAGCCATCCCAGAATAAGCCTTGTCAGAAAGCAGACTTGTCAGAGCCCTTTTAGTGCCCATCCCAGTCATATGACAGATTAAAAGCATAATTACAGATAATAAAGTACTGTGCAAACTAAAGCATGCCTTACAGAGATTGTAAACTGCTCATCAGACTTGGACTGGCATCAAAATAAGGAAGGGAAAATAGAAACCTTAATAAAAAATCTGTACAAAATGAATGCGTTCCTCAGACAGCAAAAGCACAAAAGAGTTTATGTTCATGTTTACGCATCACTGAGCTGTTATATGAGACATTTGAAATATGCAAGATGCTGGGGGAGACACAGGAAACACATTACACAACATCCATTTCAATAGTCCCAGGTTAACTTCTCTGCTTAATCTAGTACTTCTGGCCACAATCACAGAAGTCTGCTATGTCAGCTCAAAAAACCACCTAACACAGACATAACACGGTTCCACCTTTTACTTCTAAAAAGTGAACTTGACTGGAGTCAAAAAGAAATATCTGAATAAAAGAAAACAGAACATACAGCAGTAATTTAAGACCTATTAATTTCCCACTCTTTACTTACCTTCGGTATTTAGCTGCATCTCCTCCCACTTCTTCCCTATCCACAAAATAATAAGACAGTTTTCAAGATTTATTTTCTATTTTCACGGCTTTGCTACATTTCTTTAAAATCCATGTAAGAAACAGGAGAGAACAAATACGCTTTGTGAAGTCATTTCACTTCCCTAGGAGATTAAGAAGCAGGGCTGGAGGACTTCGGTTTACAGTTCTCTCAGATACTTCAGTAAAGAACTGATCCAAAAACCTAACCGCAGGAAGACCACCTTACCAATAAATCCAGATTTATCAACAGGCTTTAAACCAAGATAAACTTTGATACTCGATTTTGGTCACTACAATCGACAATATTCGCGTTTCGTCGCTGGTTTTGGTTGTGGGGTTGGTTTGGGGTTTCTTTCCCACTTCCCGTAAGGCAGTTCTGACTTTCCGTAAGGAAACACTGCCAGCGCTGCCGCCGGGCTGTCCGGGCTCCCCGGGGGCAGGGCGCAGGCAGCTCCCCGGGGCCGGAGGCTCGGCGGAGCTCCGGGCGCACCTGCCAGCGCGGGCAGCCCCGGAACTGCGCCGGGGGACGCGGGCAGAGCGCGGGCCCGGCCCGGCACTGTCAGCGCTCCCGGGGGTTGCTGCAGCCACGGCGCAACAGGAGAGCTCCCGAGCCGCCGGGGCTGTGCTGCCCGGCGCGCCCGCCCGCCGCCTTTGTTCGCGCCGAGCGGCTCCGCGCCCCCTGCTGCCCGGAGGCCGCGGGCACAGCCCGGGGGCGGCCCGAGCCGAGCGCGAGCGGCGCGGGCTGCCGATTGGCTCGCCGCGATTGTTTTGGGAACCGCTACTTCTGATTGGGGGCGGCTGGGAAGCTCTTGGCTGCTGATTGGTTGGCTGCCTGAGGCCACGCCCCCGCGCTCCTTCCCTTCAGCGGGCCGGAGCCCGCCCCAGCCGGTTGTGGCCCTGTGCGGGCGGTGCCGTCTGGCCGATCGTGCAGACCCCAGTACGACCGAGCTCGGGGCCGCCGCTACGCGGAGCCGCTGCGCCCCTTTAAGGCTCCGGTTGGTTCTCCCGGAAGCCGCCTGACGTGAGCAGCTCCAGGGACTCCTTCCGCCCAGTGACGTCACTCCTGGCCGGGAGGGCGCTGCGCGTGCGCGTGGCGCCGTGCGCGCGCCCCGGCGCCCTGAGGGTGCTGAGGCGGCGGGGCCGCGCTCTGCGCGCAGGAGCGAGCGTGAGCCCCGGGGCTTGCTGCCACCTGGGGTTTGTGGTGTCGGAGCGCACGAGATGTAAATGCCTTTGCCCGATAAAAGCCCCTGAGTAAGCACGAGGCCCAAGGGGCGCTGTGTTGTCGTTCCTTTAAGCCGTGGCCCGTCTGACCAGCGGCAGGTGCGGGCGGGGACGCCTTCCCTGGGCCGGGCAGTAACGCTGTCCCTGGGCCGGGCAATAACACTGTCCCTGGGCCGGGCAGGTGGCACACACCCCCGGCCCAGGGCACGGCCGGATTGGAGATCTCTTCAGTGCTTCCTCAGATGAGAGGAATTGGGTTTTCCCTTCTCTGGACATAATTGCGTTCTGGATAGAACCATGAGGAACATTGTGAAGGGTCGGGAGAGGAAGCCATTTGAGGAATACCTGAGGACACTTCATAGAACCATGAGGAACATTGTGAAGGGTCGGGAGAGGAAGCCATTTGAGGAGTACCTGAGGACACTTGGCTTGTTCAGCCTGGAGGAGAGTGGAGTCAGACATTATCGTGGTCTCGGAGCTTCTTCCTGAGGGCCAGTGGAGGGGCAGACGCTGATCTCGGCTGTGGTGACCAGTGGTGGCATTCAAGAGAATGGCTGAAGTTGTGTCAGGGGAAGTGTAGGTTGGACATAAGGAAAAGGTTCTTCCCCAGAGGGCAGTTGGGCACTGAAGAGGCTCCCCAAGGAAGTGATCACAGCACCAAGCCTGACAGAGCTCAAGGAGTGTTTGACAGGGCTCTCAGACCCATGGTGGGATTCTTGGGGCTGTCCTGTGTAGGACCAGGAACTGAACTCGGTGATTTTTGTGGGTTCTTCACAACTAAGGATTTTCTGATTCTGTTTCCTTTTGTTCAGCAACGTTAGTGACAGCAATGTCAGTAGTGCAGTTGACCAGTCTTGAACAGATGCCCCACAAATGCTGTGGTAACTGATGTGGCCTGTATGGCAGGACTCCGTAAAGAAATCTTTATAAGTTCTAACCAGTATAGTATGAAGATTAAACTGCCACTAATCAAGACAGGAAGGAATGCAGCCAATTAGTAGTTTATTGGGGGAAGTTATGCTGATGGAAAGTTTGTTGACCTTGTGAGGCCTAAAACATTAATTATTAATAAATTAATGTATTAAACATTAGTCCAGTTTAATTACCCTAGAGGGACTATGTATAAATTGTTGAAGCTTTGCCTTGAGGCTTTTCTCAGCTCCAAAGTGTGAATTACCTCCTGCTGATCTGAGCCCAGTGATTCCTGAGACTGTGACAATTCAATCACAGCAGTCAAATATTAAACAGCAGTGCTTAAGTGTATAGCATGGCATTTAACAGATCCCTAAGAATGGTGAAATTGGGCCTTTGCTTGCTGCAGGATCTAAAGGGACATGAGAGAAACAGAAAAAAAGATCATGCATAGAAGAACAGTTATGTCCATGGATCATAAACCATGAAATAAACCATAAAAATGGTAAGGAGGCTTATCCAATTCCACATTACAATTGTTTAAACACTAAGCAGCTTAAGAAAGCAAGCAGTATGATCATTCTCATCCAGAACAACAAACCACTGCTGAGGTAAAACCTTTTGGCTGGTAGTAACACAATGAAAATGTTAGCTGTTAATCCTTTTGATTTATAGGTATTACATAAATCATGCTGCTGATTTTTCCAAGCCTGCTGTTAGGATTTGCTGCATACTGTTCACCTGGAGAGAATGGCCTGTTGGGAATTCCTGACTACTTCGGGAATATTTCAGATATAATACAGACTGCAAATCTGAGCTTGAAAATCAAATCAGGTAAAGTTAAATTACTAAAATGTCTGTATAAATATGCTGCCTTTCAAACTGTTAGAAAGCAAACTAAATTTTGGGCTAGAATTAGGAGGTTATTGAGCAAGTTCCTGACTTTAAAAATTACATTCCCATAAAATCTGGAATAAATTTATGAAACAAAGCAAGCAAAGGGACTTCTCGTGACCTCTAAACAGACGTTTGGAGAGGAGACAAAACTAGTCTGACTTTTTATAATTCAAGTATTATAAACTGTTTTGGAACCCATATTTATTGTGTGCTCACTGATCAAGAGGATTACATGGGTGTGAATGATAGTTCCAGATGACTGGAAGACAAGTACATTTTTCCAGTGTATTCCTTAATCTGCAGCTTGGAAGTCTTTATCATGCAGCACTTTCTGACATGAGGATTACAGTTCACTTGAATTTCTGACATGAATAATATTTATGTGTGGAGATAATTTGAGGAATGTACTTCCTTCAAAACACTTCTGATTTTGCTGTTTCAATTTTTTTTTTGATTTGAATCAAGTTCTTGATCTTTCCCAGGCTCAGAATTACATACTAAATATATGGATGGTGCCATTGCTCTCTTTCCTCAAACACTAGTTATGGAGTATATGGTTACTCCAGATCTGCATGTGTCATGGGGAGGAAGAAAAATCTCCTTGAATAATTAAACCAACAAATTTCCATTTTTTTTTCTTTTAAACATCTCTAAAAATAGTCAGTTGTGATCAGATGTAAATTTATGTTATAATTACCACCTAATGAAATATTCCACAGCAAAGGATGTATGCAGTCTGTAAATTTCACCAAGACAGAGCTTTATACAAAACAAGAGTATGAAAAGGAGAACCCATTTGGCAAAGTCATACTTGGGAGTATTGACCTGAATGAACCACACTGACATCCTTAAACCATATTAGAACTTAATGAGAAGAGAAACCTGCAAAATTAAACTGAACTAAATTAGAGTATGCACAATTCTCTTCCAAAGGGGACTTAACCAAAATAGTGGTGTTTAGTCTAGGTAATCATGTGTATATTAAATATAGTCTAGTGCAATCCATTCCAAAAGTCGATTTGCAGTGGCTGTTGTTCAGTTTGCTGCCACCACCTGACACAGCTCTTTGCTTAGGGTGCCCACAGGTGAGTGAGCATCGCTCTGGCCACAAGTGGAAGGTCTGTGGCACACTCCTGTAGCTGGCCACCATATGGAGGAGGACTCTCGCTAAAGGTATTGCCAGTGTTGGGTTTTGTGTCTGCTTTTTTGTTGGTAGTGATGGGTTCTTAATATCTCTGTGATAAAAAAATAGAGTATTGCATGCAAGTTATGCTCTTTGTGGTATTTTATTTGTTCTCTCATGTGCGTACTGTGCTTTTGAAAACCTGACCCACTGCATCACTGAAACAGCAAGAGCTTTTTCTTTTTAAATGCCAATGAAATTACACATAATTTCCAGCACTTACCAGTCAAATTATGGGTTTGAGCCTTGAAAACAGGATGGCTTTTACTTTAGCAGAAACTACATCAATCTATGTTTTTTTTAAATCCATGCAAGAAAAAGTATCCTATAGCAGACGACACCTGTGTATGAATGAAGAGCTTTTTGTGTTTGGGTTTTTTTGGGTTTTTTTTTTGTTTTTTTTGCTTTTTTGTTTATTCTTTCCTAAACATCTATATATTATAATTTGGTTTCCCTCAGACTTGAGCTAAACAGTTTATCAGTATCTTCCAACTACACAAGTGGGATGTTGCAAAGCTGTGTTTGTGATTTGTCACTCTAACAACTATTGAAGTTCAGTTCCTTTTACATGCCATTCTTGCCCTGGCAGAGATGTGATTTCTGCTGTCGCTGGCAGATTGACCCTGGTGGAGGGGGAGCAGAGTATTTGACAGCAGCCACAGGACAAGTTAAAATGTAACTTTTGTGGTATGAGTCCGAGGTTACCGATGAATGTTTATTTTCCTTGGGAAACTATTTAGCATTTTAAAAATTAAACTTAGATCTCTTGCATGTTAAAATTTTGTTGGAATTGGTGGAAGGCAGTAAAACACCTGTAGGTTTTTCACAAGAGATAATATCTTGGATTGATTTCAATGTCTCAATATAGTCTGCGGCTAAAATTAACCCCGGTACGGAGCCGCTCCGTGCCGCCTCGCCCGGGTCGTCTCGGCGGCCCGAGGGGAATTGCGCTGCCACGGCCAGCGGGGGGAGCGAGTCCAGCGGGGCCAGTCTGAGCCGGCCCTGGACAGGGAGGGACACGGCTCCTCTGCGCTGGAAGGTGCAGCGTTACAAAAGATGGCTTGAATTAAAAAAAAAAAAAAAAGTCAAGCCGTTTCAGTGCAGACTTTGAGCACACAGAGGGCAGCCTGTGGCAGACTGAAGCGGGGCTAAGCTGGAATGTGAATGGCAGCCGCCATCAGGAGCATTAGCTTCATGCCTCAGGACAGCCTCAGAGGAGAGCCATGAGTAACACACGTTGCATTGTGACAAAGCCAGGGATGACTGCTCTAATGAAGATGTGAGCAGAAAAAACACAAAACCTTTTTTGAAATGGGTAACTGGTTAGAGATCTTCTGTTAGCCAGAAATAAAACAAAAAGGGTGTAGGGTACTGCCAGTCTGTGTTCAAACCTCCCCTAAAGGGTGTAACAATTACAGTGGGCAGGTGGGAGATCGATCCAGCTTTTTTCCTCCAGCTAGCTTTGCTCTCTGAGGTACCTAAGTTACTCAAACCTCTCAGTATGTTTGGCAACAAATCAAACTGCACCATCTGACTTTGGCAGGGGGGAGGATAAGAGACAGAATCATTTGGCCGTGGGTGGTGTTACAGCTTAGACTGTCTCCTGATGGTGACACACACACTTGGACAGGAAGAGGGGCAAAACTGAAGCCATTCCTGAAAATGTCTACAGCAAATACCCAAACCATCTCTTCCAGCATGCTGTTCTAAAAATGCAGTAGTTAATATTTTAATTGTTACAAGCAAGGTGCCTAGCTAAAACAGCCTTCCTAAGCATTAGTTGTCCAAAGTAGGTAAAAATTTGCAAATAAAGCTTTTTGCTGGACTGTGAAATTGAAGATTTGTTTGCAGTGCTACACACAGAGAGAACTTTGAAAATGTGGTTTAAAAATGAAGTATAAGATTCTGTATTGATTTAAACAAGGAATACTAAAGAGTAAATAAATTTGAGAAGTGGATAAAAATATAAAAGTTCTGTTCTGCAGGCTCTTAGTAGATTAAATTCAGTTTTCTGCCTTATTGAGCCTTGACACTGCATACTCTGAAGATCTGTAAATCTTTTAAGGTGCTTTACTATTTGCTTAAGAGAGTCATACATTTGCAAAATTTCTTACAATTGGAGAAATGTATCTGTGTGGACAAAAAGGCTGTATTTCAATAGGAATCATATATACTTTGCTTCAATTCTTGATTTGACCATAATTTATTTATCCTAGCTATTACAGGTAATGAGCAGTCAGAAGTTCAGCTAGTTCTGTGAGCTGTTCTCTCTTCATGTCCAGTAAGATAAGGACCCTTTCTGAAAGTGCAGGGTAAGCACATAATGTTGCTTTTAGTTTGTCAACTCTTCTTTCAGAGACACTTCTCATTTTGTTAATATTATGTTAGTCTTTCAGTTTCTCTTAAAAAAAAACAACCTAGAACTTTTCCTTCCCTTTAAAAAGAATCCTTTTTTCCTAGTTATTTATTTTAGTGAGGAATGATTAAATGTAGCAATCTATGTCCTACATTATTTGATTATTTTGTTCTATTCCATTTTCTCTGAAGTGCTGTTTTATTTGTATGTAATAAGAAGGCTTTGGAGATTAAGGTGTGGAAAATTACATCTATTTTCTGACCTGTTTGCTAATATAATATTTACCTCACTGTTGTAACTAGCTAACCCATTATCATGAGCTTCAGCTGTTTACATCACGTCTCAGTTTTATCATTTGCTTTTCTGTAACTGTGGCTGCACTAACTAATTTAGCAATATAAGGTGTGTCTGATTACTTCCTCTGGAAGACAGAGACTGTCACTCCATCCACTGCTAACATGAAACTCAGGAAGTGTTTTATTCAATACATAATGCTCATTGCAGCTGTACTTTAGAGCTCTGTTTTAGTTACCTTCAATATCTTGATTTTTCACCTGACCTTGTCCATATTGCTTTGTTTTCTATTTAGAGGTTAACTACAACAGGTCTTTAATGCTAGAGAACTCTGCTGTAACTGGAAAGATGGAATAGGGGTAAAGTGGATTGGTCTCTTTTCTTTCACAGGTTATATATAAGGATTAAATCTGCCCATAAAGATGGGGGAGGAGGAAACAATGGTTTGTTGTCTACTTCAGTTAAAGAATGGTGCTTTGCCAAGTAACACAGCAGCACTGAGGACTACCTCTGTCCACAGGGAGTTTCCTGCCAGAATGAACCTTTCTTTGGTTTTTAGCTTTGCCAAGATCTAGAAGATCTCAATCTCTTGGTAATGTCAAAGGAAAATTAGTGTGCCTTTTAAGAGTGTATATTTAATACAAGCTGTCCAAGAGAGACCAGAGAGGAAGGTGTGTGCTGGTGCTGCTGGTTTTGCACGTGTTCATGCCTGTGTTCAAGCAGACTCATCCAAATGAAGCCCTTTTATAAAGCAAACATTGTGTAGCTGTCGAATGCTGAGCCTCAGTGCACATTTCAGGGGTTAACTGTGGAATAGCTTTAGTCTGAACACACAGATTGAATGTCGTGGTTGGAGGACACCTTCCTGTCTTATTCCCCAAAGGAGTGCCATGCTCTATCAAATGAACCAAAGCACAGTGTATGAGGACAATCAGTTTGGCTCAGTTTTGAGCCACAATGATGTGCTAAATCACACACTTGGTGAGATAGATTGCTCTGAGCATGAATGATCTCTCCAAAGCAAGTTTTGCAGGAGACTGCTGAGGGTTGCTTATAATCCTCTTGAAGCTGGCAAGCAGATTATCCTTTTTGTAGGTGCGCTAAGTAGGTTAAACATCTTCAAAGCCTCTAAACTGTTTCTCTCGTATCCTGAAAGCTATTAGTGCATCAGCACTGAGTCTGCTTCCCTGCAGTCTTAGGTCAAAGAGGCTAAATGGTACACCTCTCTTCCCTGCTTAACCATATCCATGTGGCTAAAACAGAAATTCCCAATGATCATATTGGCTCTTATGAATTCTCAACTTTCTACACGTACTATGGAGGAAACTCAGGCCTTCTGTAGAGAATGCCACCATGATGCTCAGTTATAGACCAACACCCTAATTCCTGCAAACAGGATAAACATTTATTCAGCAGCTTATCTTAACTGTCATACTTACTCCAAAAGGTCAAGGAGTTGTCCAAATGGCACAGGATCTTCAAGCTGTCTGTGTATAAAAACATACTTAAGGAATTCTTCATCTTCACCTCTGACATTTTTTGCAAGCAATTGGAGTTTGAAGTCCCTGACAGTAATATTTGCTTTTTGTTTTCTCATGTTGCAGAAAATACTGAAAAAAATAATAATGTCTCCTGAAATGTAGTGAAACAAAAGCCATGCTACAAAACTAATATTTTCTATAAACACTGAATAATTCTGAATTTAAATAAAACTAAATAAGGAGTGGCCAGACTTGAGTAGGGTCTTTCAAAGAAAATACCTCTGCAGAAACACAAGGAGAATGAAGTTAGTTGACACATTCAGTGTACATACTTTTGATTTTATATTGCTGAACATCAAACTGATAAGAGCTTTCTTTGTTTTCTTTAAAATCGTTACCAAAATATGGGATTGAAAATACATCTTCAGAGGGCAGGGGCAAAAAGATTCCTCCCACCCTCCTAAAACAAACTTCTCCAGATTAAACTTAGTAGAATTCACCTTTCATTCCTTCCTGGCAATCTTCATTTCAATTCTTGACTCTTCTTGGGCAAGTAAGTGTTTTAAAATACAAAAACGGTAAAGAGTATTTTAGTTGTTGCTTGTCCAACTAGAAGGATTAGCATTTTAAGGAAATCATACAAGTAGAACAGTAAAAACATGAGAATTCTTTGAATGCATCCCTAAATCATCCTGTGCAAGTGGAGTGTGTCCCTGCCTGTGACAGAGATAATCTTTATTATCTGGAACAAGATAATCTTTAAGGTTCCTTCCAACCCAAACCATTCCATGACCCTATGAATGCTGCCATAGCTACCCTAGGAAAGTATTTGCCATAAAGAATTGCACATTACATCCCT